CCCCCCCCCCCCCCCCCCCTTTCCCCTCAAAAAAAAAAAAGGAAAGAAAGAAATAAAAACAATACTTGAAAAAGAAAAGAAAAGGAAAACCAAGAACAGTCAGCACTCCTGATTAACACATAGAAAGCATTCAATGGGAATATAAGGATAGTTTAAAAAGGTGTTAGGTAAAACATTAATTACTTGCCCTGTAGTTAATGATCAATCAAAAACATTGCCAAATCTAGTATGATTTTCTGACAATACCATCCTGAGGTCAATCAGTGCCAAAATTGTCTCCAATCTTGACATAACTACATCGAGTCCTCATCCTGAACAGATTATCTCTTGGCCATAGTCTGCTAAAGATACCATTGCAAATTGTTCTAATCCAGGAAATATTTGAGACCACATAGAGGATTAAATATAATTTCCTGACATTGCTAAGGATATATTGATGTAACGAGGTTTTAGAAGAATGTTTGACATTCACATTTATCAGGTTTCATAAATTCCTGTGCAGTAGTAAAAGTGCGAATCGAATGTAATTATCTTTATTTATAATATAAATCTGAAAACTGCCAATGTGTGCTAAATGTTAAGAATGTAATTATATTTATTTATCACTGAGGCGGTAGTCTAGCCTTTTCTAATTGTGCCGTTCACTATGTATTGTCTCTTTACCCAATTTTTATTATGATGGAATATTAGAGAGCCACATATAGTTTTATTTCCTTCTATCCCTTCTATGTATGGCTTCACTTCTTTGCATAATTTGGTCTATGTTTTATGACATTAGAGCCAAATTTTGATCCATTGTTGCTTCTTTGTTTATCGGTGTCATCATTATCGTTGTTGCTTCATTGTCTTTGCATTCTATCTTTGTAGTTAACAAATATTGCAAGTATTGGTAATTGGTTTGCAGCAGATTTCTGAGGGTTATGAATTATGAAAGCTTCAAACTGGAGTGCTACCGCCAGAATTAATGACCATATCTCAATTTCATTTTTCCTGTGTGTCATCCTTAAACACAGCTGATGCCTTCTCCTTGATGTTTTGAAGTTGTTCACAAAAGAAGGAAACTTGAATCTTAAGGTTTTGTCATACCCCAACTCCAAGGGCATGACCGGCTGTATACCATAGATCCATAACCTATGGAACACATAAGCCTAACAATAAACTAATAACATAGGAGCGAAAAACAACATTAACACTAAATTGATCTCATGTCAATATATCAAAGTCAACATACCTAAACCTGTTTGCCCCAATTATCCAACAAGTAAACATAGCTATACAATATATGCTACGGAGGTCACAACACTATTAGTCCCCACTCAATTTCCTGAGTCCGCTATTGACACTCCAATTGTTTACCTAAAAAAAATATTATTTTAAAAACATGAGCTAAAAAGCCAAGTGAATGGAAAGGTATGCATATTCAAAGTGGCTGAAAAACATATTTGGCATACGACATGTAAATCAAAGGTTTGGAAAAATAACTTTATCAAGATAACCAATTTCTTAAGAATAACACAATCGAATTCTAACAAAAATCATACCACAATGGTGAATCATATCATAATGGTGGAGACTATACAATATCTAATAATCGATGGAAACCAAATACCAAATACCAAATACAATAAATGATAACAAGAAAATACGTATAGCATACGATAGATAATCATAAACAAAGTCAGTAAAAACGTTGTGACAATAACAAATTATATCATCATTTCATACTGGTAAGGACTTGTATGATATCTGGGAACCATACCAAATGCCAAAAGACCTCAAGGTTGGATCTAAAACCGTACTTAGGGTCACCACGGGTTACCGCCCGAGAACTGTTCCCTAAGACGATCCGATGAAGGTCACCAGGACGCACCAGGAACTGTTCCTTCATCCGTTGAGCACTAGGGTCACCTTAGCCTCCCCCGGGTCTGTTCTCTAGTGGCCAAGGTCACCCGCACACAAAGGAAAAAATTTTCTCGACTTTTAACCAAATGGCAGACAAGGATCAAAATATCGTTTCGCTGTATTGTTTCGGTTACCTACGAAACGGAAACGTTTCGACATGTTTCGAAAACATTTCGATTCGTTTCGAAAACATAATAAAAAAAATAAAAAANGAACCATACCAAATGCCAAAAGACCTCAAGGTTGGATCTAAAACCGTACTTAGGGTCACCACGGGTTACCGCCCGAGAACTGTTCCCTAAGACGATCCGATGAAGGTCACCAGGACGCACCAGGAACTGTTCCTTCATCCGTTGAGCACTAGGGTCACCTTAGCCTCCCCCGGGTCTGTTCTCTAGTGGCCAAAGTCACCCGCACACAAAGGAAAAAATTTTCTCGACTTTTAACCAAATGGCAGACAAGGATCAAAATATCGTTTCGCTGTATTGTTTCGGTCACCTACGAAACGGAAACGTTTCGACATGTTTCGAAAACATTTCGATTCGTTTCGAAAACATAATAAAAAAAATAAAAAATTTAAAAATTATTTTTTTAAAACATTGATAAAAATATATCAAAATATTTTAAAATATATTGAAACATTCCAAAACAATTGTGCAAATGCATTAAAATATTATAATACATTTAAAAACATTATGGAATACCTCAAAATTTCATAATTTCGATTTCATCATTGTTTCATTTCGGTCTACTCAAAAACGGAAACATTTCGATCATTTCGAAACAATATTTTAATCTTTGATGCCAGATTATATCTCAAGGTTGAATCCAACATCGTACTTAGGGTCACCACAGCCTCTCCCGGGTTTGTNTTCGAAAACATTTCGATTCGTTTCGAAAACATAATAAAAAAAATAAAAAATTTAAAAATTATTTTTTTAAAACATTGATAAAAATATATCAAAATATTTTAAAATATATTGAAACATTCCAAAACAATTGTGCAAATGCATTAAAATATTATAATACATTTAAAAACATTATGGAATACCTCAAAATTTCATAATTTCGATTTCATCATTGTTTCATTTCGGTCTACTCAAAAACGGAAACATTTCGATCATTTCGAAACAATATTTTAATCCTTAATGCCAGATTATATCTCAAGGTTGAATCCAACATCGTACTTAGGGTCACCACAGCCTCTCACGGGTTTATCCCTAAGACGATCCGGTGAAGGTCATCAGGATGCACCAAACACTGTTCCTTCAACCGTTGAGCTCTAGGGCCACCTCAGCCTCCCCCGGGTCTGTTCCCTAGTGGCCAGAGGCACCCGCACACAAAAGAATAATTTTTCTGGACTTTCAATCATAGTCTCATTCACTATCACAAAATCTTACCATATAAACAAGTGATTAAGTCACAATACTTCACAAAAGAGTTCATCAAAGTAATCAAAATCGTATGCCGCAAATATTTAGACAATTAGTAAAGCATTATTGTAAAGATAGTAAAGAACAAACATTATGTATCATTTTTAAAATGTTTACGGGAAAATACGTAGCATACCAAACCACTCACCTCAAGTCCAAAGAGAATAATATGTTTCTTGAGTGTTGCTTGTTACCTAAAGTAGAGTGAGATGTTATTGATGCCTTTTCTCTTTTTCTCACAATTTTCTTTGATGAAATGCTCTTCCTTCCTTCTTCTCTCTTTTACTCTCTATTCTTTCTTGAAAGTGAAAGTGATAGAGATCGAAAAGGGATTGGATGAGCTTAAATTGAAGAATTGAATTTTATTATTTATTTTAGTATTATTTTATTAGTTAATGAATATTTGTTTGACTAGGAGTATTAATTAGAGTTTGACTAGGAAATTATTATAAAGTTTTAGTAGGATAAGGACTTAAAAGTTTGATTAAGAAACTCTTTTAGTATTTTATTAGGAAAGTAATTTTTATTTTAGTAGGAAACTTGGCCTATAAATAAAGGTGTAATCCTAATTATTTTTATTAGAGAAATTATGAATAAAAATTGAGTATTCTCTGCGGAGATTTGAGTGTTTCTTCACCGATTCCTTGCGAGGATGAGGTAAACCCCTTTCACCCTTTCTTCTTTCTTCTTCTCTTTCTATTCTGTGATTTCTAATCCTTCCCTTTTTACATCAGTTTGGTATCAAAGCCCAACTTCAATTCGTAAAAAAAAAAAAAAAAAATTCATCTTGGCACTGTTCATCAGGCTGGACATTTAAAAAAAAACCTATCCCAACAAATTTAAAAAATTGCAGCAACATCCCAGCTGTTTCAAAAATTACAGAAACACCCCAGAAGTTTCAGAAGTTGCAGAACCACTGCCAGAAGCTTCAAAAATTACAGAATCTTCCCCCAAAAATTTTAGAATTACAGAAACATCCCCAACATATCTAAAAAAATTACAAAATCATCCCAAAAAGTTTTAGAATTTTCTCTTGGTTATAATGGTTTTGAACGCCGAATTAAATGCTAAAGTGGAGGCTTTATCCCAAGCACAAGTTAATTCACAAAAGGTTATGAATGCTAGACTAGATACAATTCAAGCATCTATTGATTTACTGAGAGAACTTGTGCTCGCTACAATTTGTGAAACCAAAACAAGTAAAAATTTTAACTTTGTCCCTTCAACTGTCAATCAAAAAGTGATTGAACACAGCCCTCCGAAACTTCATTTATAATATTCTAAAGTCTTCTCCAACCTTCTAAATCCTTCCGAAACTTTCTGGAACATTCTAAATCCCTCTAGAACCTTCTAGTATTTCCTAGAACTTTCTAAAATATTTTAGACTTTTCTAGATTATTCTAGAACTTTTCGGATTCTTCTAGAAACTTCTTTAACATTCTAGATTCTTCTAGACTATTCTAGGTTATTCTTGAACTTTCTAGAATCTTCTAGACTATTCTACATTGTTCTAGAAACTTCTCCAATATTCTAGATTATTCTAGACTATTCTAAATTCTTCTTTAAAATTTTTTTTTATTCTTTATAAGATAATATTTTTAACTAGCTCCTTGCCAAATTGGAACGGGGTATTACAGGTTTATNCTAGAAACTTCTCCAATATTCTAGATTATTCTAGACTATTCTAAATTCTTCTTTAAATTTTTTTTTTATTCTTTATAAGATAATATTTTTAACTAGCTCCTTGCCAAATTGGAACGGGGTATTACAGGTTTAAATTGAGCTTTTGAACAAGGTTAGTGTAGAATGTTAGGCTATTTTAAATTGAGGGTATTGTTGTAATCCTCACATTATTATGAATTAATATAAATACGGGTGATGAGTGGAGAGGCCGATTAACTCTCATTCTCCTTCACCCTATTTTTTAATCTCTTCTCTTGTCTCTTCTCTGTGCTA